AATTTTTCAATCAATGTTTATTTTATTATTGATGTGTAAATGTAATAAAAAAAAAAAAAAACGTTTATTTTAAGTAAGAAAATTGAAAAAGAAAAAGAATAAACTCTGTCTTTCAGTATAGTGTATTATTGGAAGATATTTTCGATGACCTGATATGATGATTTAATCATCGGTACAATTGAACTATATTTACTTATAAGATTTCGTTAGGTAGAAAATTTTTTAGATTAAATTCTAAATTATTTCGATTTTGTGCGAATGAATTACTTGAATAATGAATTTTGATCGAAAAAGTTTTTGATAAAGAGATATTTATTTTAATAATAATTTTTAATTTTGATAGATAGTTAAATTTGAAAAAATTCAATATCTCATTCTGCTTGATTAGAAGATTTTCATTTCTCGCAGCATAATTATAGAAAAGAATGTTTTTTATTTATTTTATAACTTATAATAACATTTAATTATATCAATAAGTGTCATTTTAGATAAATTCTTCTTCTATTTTGTAAAGTAACTTTTATCTTACTCAAATAATTCATATCTAATCCTTCTGATAGATATAATAACTTAATATTTTTCCTATAAAATATTAAACAAAATGATTTTATTTAGATTTCAATTTTTATTAAAGTAATAAATAACAATAATCAACGTAGTTCTGCATGAGGAAAATAGTCTTTTATTAAATCTAGAGATAATTCTGGTTGAATGTTTATATTGAGACATTTAATTTTGGTACAATTCATTCGTATAGTATCACTTGTAAAATTATCCGTTACTCTTTGTAAGGAATTATAATCCACAAAAAGAGAAATATTATTTGATAAATACATTTTACTATTATTTAAAAATTGTTCCAAATAATTTTCATGACTTTGAACAATGGCAAGTTTAGTAAGATGAGGAGATTCTATAATTGAGTATTGTTGTTTGTTATTCTTTTGTGGTTCTTGATTATGTATACGTAGTTCGCTGACAAATGGAAAAGATTTAGTAATTTGAAGAAAAAAATTCATGTTCGAAAGGAAGTTCATCAACTAATGATATTTTATAAACATGTTTAAATAATCCACCACGAAAATTGTTTGTTATATAATTATAATATATCAATTCATATGGATATGAATAAATATGACAATGAAATTGATTTTCTTTTGGAAGACAATCAATACATGAAATAATTTTAGAGTTTTTAAAATTTTTAAATGTATTTTGAATAGCATTATTTGATGGTAAATTAACTTGATTATTAAAAGGAATAATTGAACGTATATTAAATTGAAATTTTTTTAATTTTGTCATATAATTCAAAATATTTTCTTCCAAATTATAACCATCAATAATTTCTGCATTAAAACTATCAAAATATAAATCAAGTTCTTCTAAATTTGACATTCGATGTAATAGTGGAATAAGAATATTATTATAGACTGATAATATAGATCTATGAGTTAATTGAAAACATTTCAAATTTGGAAGTTTTTTCTAGAAAACAAAAAAAAGTATTTAATGAATGTAACTATTGTTCATTTAATCAAAATATATTAATATGATTGATTTACTTTATTATTGATCACTGATAACGTAGGTACCTTTGACAAACAAATGGTAACATAGATTGTATTAAGTTGATTAAAACGACCATCAAGTAAATAAAGACAATCTTCATAAGAGTCAATGACGACACGTAATTGTAATAAAGTTGAAGATAATATATTTGGAGGTGATACACCAAATGTTAATCGATGATAATTAGAACCATTAAATGGACTAAAATTCAAATATTGTAAATTTTTGAACATTGTAAAGATTTGTGTAAATATAAATATATTTGTATCTTTAATTGAACTTGTTGATTCTTGACATTTATTAATATGAATAACAATTGATGATAATTGATTTTTGAAAATTCGAATTAAATAACTTTTATCTAAATAAATATTGAATATTTTTATGAAACTATTTTTTTGGTTAATTTAAAATATTCAATTCTCTTTTTCTTATTTATAAATCAATAATATTCTATTCACAATGATGTTTTTTTTTTTATTCTACAGATTTTCTCCTTTTAAAACATTATAAAATAATACTTGAATTTTATTCAAATTTAGATTCATCGATAAACATTAAGATCAAAAGTATTTTATCCTAAAAAAGATGTGTTAAATCATATTCTAATCAGATCAAAAAATAACTTATTTTAATATTTTCATGTAATTAATTATTCAAAAGAATTAAAGAAAATATCTTACTAGAAAAAAGTTCTCTCGCTCTTTCTGATATAAGATTGTATAAAGCCAGTCCACATAAATTAGGATAATTTGTTGAAAGAAGAATACGATCCATAGACGATGGTTCAAGATCGAGCCATAAAATTTTATGACGAATTTTAGGTAAAATTTCGGCACAAAATTGATTAAGTATTGGTTCAGCAATTGGACTTAAATCATTGCAAGATGTCATAAATGTTAAATATCTTGTAAAAATTGAATCTTGCACAATAGTATCAAGTCGTTTATTAACACCTATTAAAGAATAGAGTACATCAATATTGGGCAATTTTTTCAAAATAATCAAAAGAATTTCATTAGGTAAATCATTCAATTGAATAGATAAACTTTCCATGTTTACTTTTCACATATGATTTTTTTTGCTTTTCCTCATACATATATACCCTAATATCTGTTAGATGACCGATGTCGTCAATAACAATAATGATATATTTTTGTATAGCATAAGTTGATCATCAATGAATAAATCATCGAATGACATTGTTTTTTCTCTCTGCTTTTGTGTAACAACATTTAATTTAATATGTTGTAAGCGTCTTCGGACGTAACAAAATAAAAGCATATTCAAAAAAAAAATTTAGTTCAATATGAGCAGATAAAAAATAATTAAAGAAACTTTTTTACTTTTTATAATGTAAAATGGAAAATTCTTTTATTTTAAATATCAAGTAAACATTTCAAAAAAAGGGAATTAAATTTTTTTGTGAATTTGAGATTTCATCATATTACAATTTCTGTAAAAAAAAAAAAAGGCGTGGTTCTTCAACATACAAAAAGAACATAATGAAAAAAATATTGATTATCTATCACAAGTGAACATATGAGAACAGTAAATGAATGTTTTCTGACTAAAATCGTAGAGATGACGAAAATGTGTGAGAAGATAATCATTTTTGACAAAAATGATATTTTAAATGAAATTTATCATAATGTAAGTTCATCATAAATAATGTCTTGTAATGTATTTGTTGATTCACGTGCTGAAGTCATAATATACATAGTAGATTCAAGATCAAGATTCTAAAGCAAAACAAAATCTGATTAAATTATCTCCCTGGTCAAGTTCATCATTATCTATTCTATCGATTTTTTCCAGTACGTACTATTTGTTCACCATGCCGGTTTTGGTTTTTATTAAACTTATTGTCATTCGTGTTCCATAATACGTCCTTTGGTTCAGAATTATAATCATTTATATAATATGCCACATGATCTGTGGCATAATATATGGGCAGTGGTACTGCTATTGTTTTCGTACATTGTGGATCATTATGACATAAATAACGTCTAAATTTTACAACAAAAATAATAATAAATTCTTTCTTTTTATTTTCATATCAAATTCTTACGTAAGTAATTGTATTTCATTTGATGTAAAACCAATTTCATTACGTAGAACTTGATAAAACATTGGTTTTGCTGTACCTCGAATAGGTGCATCAGAATTAAGATAAAAATTAAGACCATTTGGTGAAACAATATCTGTATCAATAACTGTTCCTAAAATACAAAAAAAGGAAATATTCAAATAATGAAATCAAATAAAATTCATTTAACCTGGCGGAATATTTTTTGCTTGAGTTGATATTTTATCCCAAGTAAAAAAATGTGTATTATGATGTCGTTTAACGAGAATAAAACAAATGCGAGGAACTTGATTACGACCATATAATTCTATAGAAAAAAAAACAACATTTGATTTCATCGTTGAACAATCATATTTACCTTGAAATGCTCCTTCAATAGCTTTTAATTCATGATCAAGTACTGTTTGAAATGATCCATTACCAAGATCAACTTGATAGAAAACAAGTTTATTTGGTAAACGTAAATTATGTTGAGAAAATTCACGTATTAATTCACCAACATATATCTGAACATCTTTTGTTATTGAATAAGAAATTTTTTGTTTTGGTTCAACTTGTTTTAAAAGACGCATAGAATATTTTGAATTCGTTGAATATGTTGATCCACAAATATAACC